CGCAAATTAAAGAACACAGATGCAACATCTCATTTACATATCGACCAACACAATATACCAAGCGTAGCGCAAATTAGTGTATTCGCAAATAAAGAAATAAAGAAGCCACGGTACGTTGAATAGAACCGGAGGACAAAAAATGAAGGTTTGCTAGAATCTTTGATAGACCTGGTATTGCGTGACTCCTAGTTGAGGGTTCCAAGTTGTCTTTTATTTCCTGAAGCAAATTAAAAATAACATGGCTTGGCAAACGATATGTTCGGATAATGTGTTCTTCTGGCATTCCAAATAAATTAATACATGTGGAAAAAATCCTCTCCCTTCTACCACACGCTCTCTGTTCTCTGCGGTGCCTCCTCCTAGCAACAACAATTGCAGCCATTTCAAACACAAAATAGTTTAAGACATGCTTTTTTTGGGCCTTAAAGGGGTAATTGACCCAAAAATGAAAATTCTGTCATTAATTACTCACCCTCATGTCGTTCTAAACCCGTAAGACCTCCGTTCATCTTCGGAACACAAATTAAGATATTTTTGATGAATTCTGAGAGCCCTCTGACCCTCCCATAGACAGCAATCCTCCCATAGACAGCAATGTAATTACCACGATTAAGGTGCAGATACGTAGCAAGGAGATCGGTAAATAATCCATGTGACATCAGGGGTTCAACCGTAATTTTACGAAGCTACGAGAATACTTTTTGTACACAAAGAAAACAAAAATAACGACTTTATTCAACAATTCGTCTCCTCCACGTCACCCTGGCGCCATTTTGGAGAATATCCACTGAATGCAAACAGCGTATGCTATTCTGTGTCAGCTGCGTCACGCGGATACGTTATTTTTGTTCAAATCAAAGCGTACACAATGTAGAAAATGTATCCGCGTGACTCAGTTGCGTCTGTGTTCTGACGAATTGTTGAATAAAGTTATTAAGTTATATTAAGTTAAGTTATCGTTTTTTCTTTGCGTACAAAAAATATCGTAGCTTCGTAAAATTACATTTGAACCCCTGATGTCTCATGGATTATTTTACCGATCTCCTTGCTACATTTCTGGGCCTTGATCGTGGTAATTACATTGCTGTCTATAGGAGGGTCAGAGAGCTCTCAGAATGCATCAAAAATATCTTAATTTGTGTTCCGAAGATGAACGAAGGTCTTACGGGTTTAGAACGACATGAGGGTGAGTAATTAATGACAGAATTTTCATTTTGGGGTGAACTA